GCAAGAGAGACAGCGAGAGAGCGAGAGAGAGAGAGAGAGAGAGAGAGAGAGATCGCGAGAGAGAGAGAACCACTTCACCATGAAGTGAACCCTGAAAAAAGTCCCCTGATTCAGATGGTCCTGAAGCTGCAAAAACAAACTAACATGACTAACAACATCCAGCATCAGGACTCTGAAATATTCATCCACAAAATTCGGCCCAACCAAACTATAAAAGCACAAAAAGATAATTATCTAACCTATTGGACTGAAACAACAGAAACACAAAGTAAACTCGAATGTTATTTGGCCCTAAATAGAGATTACACAACTGCAGAATATCTGAGTACAGTGCAAGACTGTAAATTAAGAAGACAGATGACGAAGTACAGACTGAGCAATCATACTCTGACTATAGAGACGGGCAGATATCGACAGCACTGGCTGCCCAAAGAGACACCACACAACACACAACACACACACACAACATTTAATTATAAATTGTTCGTAGAATTCTACGATTCTAAAATTCTAATTTGTTTTACTTTTTAAATGTATATACATGCATGTTTTTGTTGCATATATATCTGTTCTAGATTCAATGTAAACACTATGCTTTGGCAATACATTGTAACAATTGTTAGTATATACTTCTGCTTGTGGCGAGGCTACTTGTGAAGAGCTTTGATTCTTCATGTGGCTTTCTCTTTTACCACCTGCATTATTATGGTGGTTGTCAGTATGTTAAAGGTACAAAACAGATTTTAATAGCAGTGTGCATTGTTGAATTTACTGGTTTACATTCAAATTTTCTTGCTTGTAATTTACAATTTTATACTGTAAAATTTACAGTTTTTGGCCGTAAATGTGTTTACAGTTTTTCTGTATCTTTTACAAAATTATTCTGGCAACCACAGCTGCCAAAATTATTTTGTAAAAACTACAGAATTTTTTTTACAGTGTAGTTCAGATTACACGACTAAATGTCGGCAGATCGCTGTGCAAGTGAAACAGGAGTTGTTTATTTGAAAATGGACGTCAGGAAGAAATTAGCACTGCAAGCTGTTTGCGTAATGATCTTTTCTGAAACATTTTGCTCCATTTCTTGTGTCCATGTTACTGTTGCTGTTTATCGCCACCTGATCGGAATTTTTGGCTATTTTGGATTTTTTGAAAAACCTACTTTTGTGAACTAGTCCTAGGTTTTTCGCCTGATTGGAAACCAGAGCAGAACAATTTTCTGGAGAGTGAATATCAAATAATTATCAAAAAAAAAAAACTTGAGTTCTCAACTTACTGTGGCAAAGGGATGCCAAAATATTCAAAAGAGAGGGGGCCACTTTTCCTAAAACGGCAATAACGTTTCAACGGAATGAGATATTTACACCAAACTCGATATGTAAGACCTCAATCGTCACATGAGAAAAATCGCAGAGTCTGGCCACTGTGTGGTGCTATAATAGGACAAAAACATAAAAAGGTCTATAACTACACATCCCTTAGTCTGACTGATTTGAAAATTCACGTGCAGTGTCTGTGTCCAAAGTGCCACAGCTGTCACTTTGATTACTTTTCACAACTTTTCACTTTGGTTAGCTATAACAGGGTCATTTAGAAAATGGGTGTGGCCCAAAAGCCTATAATTCTTGAACGAAAACTCGGAACTTCACGAAATTAGGTGAGCACATGCAGCATATGATTCTAAAGAAGCATGGCAACTTTTATGGAGATCGGACTATAGGTGGCGCTATAACAGCCATAAATGTTAAAAACATCATATTTCTATGGTAAATTACATGGAATTGCCAAAAAATGCTCTTTTTAATCATTGATTTATGTGGTTAGGTGGTTTGCTAAATAGTATGTCATGTCTTTTTTCATATGGCCTTAAAAGCCTTAAAGCTCTTGAACCCCGGTAATTGCTTTTTGCAGTTATATTTCAGACTTGTAGTTGTATAATCCTCTAAAACAGCTGAACCTGCACGTGTATAACAGATCACATGCTTGCGAAATTTATACTATGTGATACACAAGTTAAATATATTTTCCTTAAAAATCAAATCAACATGTCTATAAATATTCTAATTCAATATTTCCAAATGTTTATTCACCCTCAGTATAAAAACTGTGCCCATAAAATGTAATTGCTTCATAATAGTCTTGAGTTTAAGGTCCCATATGTATGGAATTGTTAGAAAAACTGGTATGAAACTGTAAGTTTTACTGCTGACTAATGGATTTATCGGTCAACCATTCCAGGTCAAGTCAACGTGGTCTGTTTGCTTAGTGAGTGAGAAAGTCAGAGTTACAGTAGCACATGGTCTAGAAAAGTAACTGTCAAAGGAGTATACACACATTTTCATTCATTGCTTGTTGAATATTGTCTAACCCTAACAGTTGTAATTACACATGGGTATGAATACAAAAGAATAATAAATGTTACCATTGTTTAATATTAAATGCTTTCACTTTAAAAATCAAGCTGGAAGCAAAAATATAACATAATAAATATTATAACAATGTTTTTGCATTTACACAAAAATACAGTACAAACTGCACATAATTATAAAGTGTTTTGCATTGTTCTCTAGTCTAGAGCACAGATGGAGCCCGGAACATTATACAACCTATAAATGACTACATGGTGGATATTGTCTCAGCTGTTACTGCAATGTTTGATGTCTGTAGAGCAAACAAAACTGCTTCTCCTACTTTATCAAGAGAAGTGGACAAACTGGTCTGCTTTTTTAAGGCATAGAAAAGGATGCTACTATACGTTACTGAGAATCATCTACATTTCTGTCAGAGCCAATTTACTTTCTGTTGTTTTTGTACTGGGTAATGCATTTTTATCATGTATTCTTAGGTCCATTTATAATTCTAATAATAATAATAATAATAATAATAAAATATTATAATATATTATTATAACATAATTAATAATACTTTTCCCATGGCATTAATTTATTTATTTTTATATTTTCTTTTTATTAAGACCTTTACTTTGTGGATTGAACACCCTGAAACAGACCAAGCAGTGTCAAGAGCACACTCTTACCTAACCACTCTCATCTTTTAATGGACTGAACACAGGGGAACCAGAGCTCCACTGACTTTAGAGAATATCATGGAGTACTTCCGAGCACTTTCAGCACCTGAGTTTCTAACTATTCATACTGTCTGTGTTACAGCAATATTTTCTGTCACTGTGGATGCTCATTATGAGTTTTGTCCCTTTCGTAGCGCCTTGCTGGGTAGCCCCGCCCATTATGAAATCTCATTGGTCAAAACACACGCTCTTCATAACATTAATAAGGAAATACTCCTAAATATCTTCTTATTGATAGTGACTTTGCATGTTTGCCCTTGCCATCTTCTATTTTGTGCAGGTGCAGTCATTTGACACAGGACAAGACACTCTGACCCAGAATTCTGACGTGATTGGGTAATCCAAAGACAATATTGAAACACTGTAGGAAAGTAGGTTCGTAAAATGATTTTTAGATTGTGGTTAAAAGGAAACTGAGACAGAAGTATATAAAGATTTAATGGCATTGTAAGAGCGTAATGAAAGTCTAGTATGACTGGAAAGTGGGTGGAATTGTATTGGATGACCCACTTAACGTCTTAGATTTCTGTTTCAGCTGCTCAACTTTGTATTGTATATGTAAGGGAGAATGTACAGGGTCCTGATCATCCTGTGGGGGTTTGCTTTGTTATTATGATGCACAGACTAACCTTATTTCTATTTTTATTTATATATCTACTAACCAAATAAATAAATGGACATTAAATTTCTGTTGAACTTATTTTTTATCTGTTAACTAAACTATACTGTAAAAATGCTACAGTAAAAACCTGTTAATTGGTTAACGGTAAGTTCCCTTACTGTACAGGGAAAAAGAGCATAGATTTAAACTTACATTTCATATAATTTTACAGCAAAATATTGATGAATGTACAGTTTTTGTAAGTAAAAAATAACAAGTCATTTTATAATTTACAGTGAAACCATAAATTGACATTCCCAGAATTCTCTGGGTGACACTTCACATTTGATGGTATTTTTAAAAGTTTTTGTTATCAGTTATGTATATTAGGGTTATATGTTACAGCTTATGTTGTTTAATTAATGTGTATTGCATTATTTTAGTGATATGTGATACCATGATGGTGTTTTGTATTTGTGTGTATGACACTGGTGCACCTTTATATTTTTATAAACCTTAACTTGTGGTAAGGCTACTTGAAATAAACTTTGATTCTTCACGTGGCTTTTTCTTAACCACCTGTGTTATTATGGTGGTTGTCAGTATCTGTTAAAGGTAAAAATCAGATTTTAGTAGCAGCTTAGCCTTGACATTTCAGCAGAAAATCGTTGTAGAATTTACTGGTTTAAAATGTTTTTGTTCGTGTTGTTGTTTTGTACAGTTTTAAACAGTAAAATTTACAGGCTGTTCTGTAAATATGTTCACATTTTTACTGAATTTCTACAGAATAATTCGGGCAAACACAGCTGCCTTTTTTTTGGACACAAGGTTTGGTGCATATTTAATTTGTATGGTCTTCAAGTTTTCAGTTACATAAAATACTTGAAATGGTGGATAGTAAAAAAAAATTTAAAAAAAAGGAAGAAAAAAAGAAAAGAAGAAGAAGAAGAAAAAGACCATAAAAACGGCTACTACCGTAGGTTATTCATCACTGAATTTCACATCCGATCACATCATTGGATAGCCTGCAGATAACTCTACAATTATGTACAACAATTCAAATGCAAAACCACAACATTTCCACCTCAACTGCTGACATCAACCTATTGTGTGGTTTGGAAGAGCTGACCCACATCCTGACTTCAATGACAACATTTTCCAACTTGTTTGAGAGTCCAGCTTCCCTCATCACTGATTTAACAAATTAAGCTTTTTGTCTTTGGCAGAGCATAGCGCGGTGGTCTGCCATCAAATTCTTGCATTCTTGTGTCAACACATAGATGTTTGGCCAGTCATGATGAGTCACATTACAATACATCACTATACCACCATGATCAGCTTAATGGAAAAACAGGCCCGGCTATTATAAATTGATGAAGTCAAAATGTGGAAGGTCTTGTAGAAAGCCCCTCCCCTAATATCATAATGTCATTAATATCCATGAGCTAAGCCTCACCATTTAGTGAGATCACAGCCAGCATATGTTGACATCAAAATCATTTCACCATGAGACAAATACTTTCATCAACAGGCAGATAGTTATGTTTCTGGGAACATTAGATGAACAGCTTTCAAAAAGAGTGGGTCATGAGGTCGGCAGACCTGCAGTTTAGAGGCCAGTGACAGGGAAATATAATCATAATGGAGAAGTAACCAGTTCCTCTTCTCATCAACAGAAAAATATGAATCATTGGATAATGTAATGAGCCCTACAGCCAAAAAGTGGACAGCAACTACAGCTCCAAAAGAAAGGAAAAGGGAAGACAATCAATGTGGTTTTGGCGAATCTATTAAATATTATAAATCTTCCCCCAAAGCCACTGCAAATAGCTATTGCTTCTTTTAAGCTGCAAGAGTGTGTCTTAATATGATACCTGATATTTAGCATTTCTCACAGCAAGCAACCAATAACTGGCACGTCATTGAAATTCATAAGCACTGCCACCCTCTGGTGGAAAAAAAAAATATTCAAACCATTAATAACTGATATGTAAAAGTGGCCAGTGTTATCAAATGAGCAATGAGACTAAAATGTGATAGTATGTAGGTTCTTATTAACCATATAACCTTCAGGGCCTAATGGTTAGAGTCAGACTTGTAACCTGAAGGTTGCGGGTTTGAGTCTCAGTAACCGCAGGAAATGTAGGTGGTGGGGGAATGAATGAATAGCGCTCTTATCCACCCTCAATTCCCACGACTGAGGTGCCCTTGAGCAAGGTACCAAACACCCTATTGCTTTCTGGGTGCCACAGCAAAAATGGCTGCCCACTGCTCTAGGTCCATGGCTTCAGTGTGTGTGCTCTGACTTAAGATGGGATAAATGCAGAGGACAAATTCTGAGTATGGGTTACCATACTTGGTCTACACTTCACATCACACGTATACTTTTATATTGCATTTTAGACCTAATTTAAAAAACAGATTAAAAAGACAAAAAGCCATAAAAAGGGAAGCCAGGGCATGTTTATTTTCATTATTGCAAGCTTTCATAAAAATGATGATACTCCATATGAATTTTTTTTTTTCATCTATACAATCATTTATAAAATTTGTCTTCACTGAGACATGATTGTAATAGTGCTTTTAAAAAACAATCTCCATAATCAGGACAGTTACATCTTCTTACATAAAACCAAACTTTTTGGTCCAATTTAAATGTAGCAAGTCTTAAACTGTTAGTAACAACACCATGAGAAAACATTTAGTCAAGTAAAAATACATTTGAATAAGGAATGCTGATTTATATTCAATAGTGAAAGGATGTGAAGGCAAACTATCAAACTACATTAACTAAAACTTAAATCGGTGACATTTTTTCACAAATAATTCTAGAGAATTTGACTTAAGTCTTCAGAAAAGTATGACTTCAGGAAAAACATGCAGCTCACTTGAGGGAAACAGTTTCTTGCTCACACATATATGGAAGCATCATTTTATTCATGGCTGTGTAACCTTTACCATAAAAAAACTACTTCTAGTAACTGGAAATTTAGAGTTGTACAATTTACCCACACACGCCAAATGGGGATATTAGAGTCAGTCTACAGTTTAAAATAAAAATAATCAGATTCAATACAAAAAGTGCTGTTTTTGATCCTGGCAAAGGCTAATTTGACATAGAATTTGATCAACATTTCCTTGGTAAACTGTAAGCAACATTTTTATCTAGTAATCTGTGACATATTGGGTCATGATTTCGGATGAATCTCGACTGAATAGAAACATGTTATAAAGAAATATAGCTGAAACATACCATGTCACATAACACTTCTCAGGTTTATACTGCTCTGTTTGTCGTCACACGTCAAGTTTACGTAATAGTTCATGATTAGTATATATATCAGCTTTCCAGTGTGACAGCAAAAAGCAGATAAATCACATTTAAAGGTACAAAATTGCAGTCATAATCAAAACAACACAAAATTGCTGAAACAATGCACTTTTTCTTCTTCTCTCAATGCGATTATTTAAATCTGTCTGCGTAATCTTAGCTAAAATGTCTCCATCTCATCTTACAAAACCTGGAATACTTAAAAAAAAAAGAAAAAAAGAAAGGGATGGTGTTATTGATAATTCAAATAAATGGGAGAACTTTTGGTTCACTGCCCTCAATTCGGTGGCAAGATACAGTAAGGCAGTAAAAGGGGGCATAGCAACTAGATAAAAAACAACTAGATAAAGTGTAACCATGGTAGAGACATTGCTGGTGGTGGCTCGTTTTCATGTTTTAGAGAGGTTACTGAACCACATGTAAGACATTTGAAGTAGATGCATTCAGGTTCCCCTCTAATGGGCTGGTAACAATGCAAGGAGCTCAAGATGATCCAGTGGCCTCATCGTGTGGGTCAGTTGCTCTTGAGGATCTCAATGCTTCCCTGCAGAAGGGACACGCTGTTCTGTAGTGAGTGTACAAAAGAGAAAACGCAACAGAGTTAAAGTGACAGAGAACAGATGGAAGAAAGTCAATGTGTTGGGTAAACCACATTAAAAATCAAGGTTGTCAAACCATTTACCAAAAAATCTCCATGACTTTCCAAGTCTACCATTATTACTATAAGGGCACTTAAGGGTTTTTAAAATCTTTTTTTTTAAACTCCCACCACACTCAAAAAGAGCAATTTCTATTTGCTGAAATATTTTATAGCTGAGCATATCTAGAAAATGTACACTACTGTTCAAAAGTTTTGGGTCAGTAAAAATTTTACTTTTTTTTTTGTCTGTTATGTTCACCAAGGCTGCATTTATTTGCTCTACAAACAAATTTTATTTGTGCTGCTTTTATACAGTGTAGTGAAATATTATTACAATTTAAATTTTAAAAGCAATTAAAAGCAATTTATTCCTGTGATGGCAAAGCTGAATTTTCAGCAGCCATTACTCCAGTCTTCAGTGTCACATGATCCGGTGATTTTTTTCAGGATTCTTTGATAAATAGAAAGTTTAAAAGGACAGCATTTATTTATATAAAAGTATTCATTTCTTTTAAAAGAGAATCTTACTGACTCCAGTCATTTGAACAGTAGTTTATATTCAACACAGAAATTTAAATATAGACATTTCCAGGCTTGGAAATCACATCTTTAAATGAGAATACCTGAACACTGCCGAATAAACATGTAATGATACACATAATACTTTAGCCTCCTCACCTTGGCATGTTTTATTTCCAGCTCAGTCATCTCGATCAAGTTCTTACGGAAGGCTACTACACGCCTTGCCTTGAAGCTGGTGAGCTCTACAATCACAAGAAATCAATGTTAGTAAGTAAGGAACGGTTCAGCCAAAACTGATAATTAAACCACTTTGATGATACTTTTTATAACAGTTTTTCAACAACATTCTATATAATATTTTTGTATTTAACCATCTTACCAGGCACAATGGCTATAGTTCACAGGCAGCTCCAGGATTTAAACCTACAATCTTTTGGCTACCAGCCTAGATCTATAAGCACCATATTAACTCTTCATAAACTATAAACTCTGACCATCAGAGTAATTCATCAAGGATATTGAACAGTTAAATTTTTAAATTTTTAAATTTTAAGTTTTGATTGTACAACACCTTTCTTGCCAGACTCGGAGAGCTTGTCAAACTTCTGCAGACACTGCTTCTGGTTCTCCTCAGCCTGTGCAACATCCTTACCCTTCAGACGAGCCTTGTCAAGAGCTTTATTGGAATTCTCATAATCGGCAAGTGCCCGTGCACGTCTATACAACAGGTCCTGAAGGAAGGAATGGAATGTGTTATTGCTCAACCTATAATCAGGACAAATCAACTTTTGTGTGTTGTTAGTGAACAATGACATGAACAAGGTTCTTTTTACACAGTGGCAGGCAAGCTACAATATAAAATATTTTAGATTAAAAATAAATTCTGTTGCTGTTAGTACCAATGACAGTGGGTAAAACTGTGGCATTCACCATACAGGTCTCGTGAGCAAAAATGTGAATTTTCCACTCTACAATGACCCCATTCTGGAAATAACTATAAAACATACAATTCTAATACACTTGGTCGAATTATACAATCCAACGTATGTAACCAATGTAACCAACTATAATAACACAAACAGGGAAGGTGTTACCTTAGCAGCCTGGATGTCCCTTGTGTAGTATCTCAACAATTCTGTCAGCTTGAGTTCTTGATCCGATGCCATCCTGTCCTCCACTTTCTGCAAAACACACATACTTATGATCTTATAAATGTAAGTAAAAATTAAGACAGTTCCTACAGAGATACTCACCCTAAGCTTTTCAAACACTTCAGCACATTTTTCTAAGTGCCTGAAAGAACAAAGATTTAGTAAAAATGAAATATTTTATATCAATAAGCTTAAACAATTTCTTTGTAGAATAATTGTTGTGGTTTTAAATTTTGCTGACTTATTTAAATGTGTCGCTATATACACGCTTAATTTTCTCTATTTAAAATAAAAACTTAATTTTCTCTATTTATTATGTTTAAAAATATTTTTTTGTGTGTGTGTGCGGTCAGGCCATTGAAAATGTCGGCAGTTCAAGTGAAAAAAAACCCCTGATTATTAAGACACAGAGGATTTTTTAAAATGCATATACACTGCATGGCCAAAAAAAAAAATTGTCGCCATATGGATTTAAATAAGCAAATACTGCAGTGATTAATATGTTTCTGGCATGTTGTATGTTTGACAACAATTCTTTTCACCCCAACTGATGCAGTGTGTAGCTTTTTATTTCTCAAATAACCATGTTGGAAGACATAGCCATGTACATATTCCATGATGATAATGTCAAGATTCATCAGGCTCAAACTGTGAAAGATTGGCCTGCACAGAGTCTTGACATTAACCCCATTGAATGTCTTTGGGGTGTGCTGGAGTAGACTTTACACTGCCTGTCCAAAAAGAATTTGCACACTCTAATATTTCATCGGACCACCTTAAGATTTGATAACCATTGTGCTTTCGTTGTGGCATTGTTTCGACAACATTATGCAACATCACACAACATTATTTCCATTAAGAGTTGCATTAATTTTTGGGAGAGTTGAACCACTCTGTAAAGTCGTCTCCAGCACATCCCTAAGACTTCAATAGGGTTAAGCTCAGGACTCTGTGGTGGCCCATTCATAAATGAAAATGATTTGTCATGCTCACTGAACCCCTATTTCACAATTTGAGCCAGATGAATCTTGACATTATCATCATGGAATATGTACATGGGTATGTCTTCCAACATGGTTGTTTGAGAAATAAAAAGATATTAATCACTGGAATAATGATCCGATCCTAGAATCTTCACTATTTGCTTATTTAAATCCGAATGGCAACTTTTCTTTTTTGGCCAGGCAGTGTATACAACTACTAACTCTACTAATATCAATGAAGTACTCTCCTTAATAAATCAAACATTTGTTACTGTTCTTTGCTAAATGGTGTTTTTACTACAAACAATATGAAATATAATGTATTTCTCACTTTTTAAAGGCAGTGTTGTTGTCTGCAGCAGTGTTGTTCAGAGCCCCAGAAATGTGGTTATAATCATCAGCAACATCTTGGAAAAGAAAGACAATCTTTTGGTCAATATGAATGTCGCTTAGCATTAATAGCCAAAATACTTGCAGCCAGTTGATTCATTAGGATGAAATGGTCTCACTTTTGTGAGAACGTGTCATTTTCTCAGCCTTAGCAGTGGCATCTTTGATTTTACTGGAATAATCCAACAGAAAATTCTTCTCCTGTTCAAAAAACTCATCAACCTCCTGCAAAAAGAAAGTTAAAGAACTGTCATATCATGACATGAGACAGAACACTGCTGCCTTGTGTTGATATTAATAAAAACACACCCAAAGAGAGCTGATTGACACACTGACCTTGACCCCTGAGATGAGGACCTCATCAGCACTCTTTACCATGTTCTTAAAGAACCCACCAAACATTTCCTTTGCATTTTTCCTTCTCACTGTGAGCTAAACAACAAATGAGAAGAGGATTACAGAGTCAAGCACAATATGAACCAATCAGAAGGCAGAACCATAGTGCACACTCTTTATCGCCACTGGCTGAGATCCAAGGAGGTCACTTGTCTTTGTTATCAGTATAACTGACTTATCAGAGCAAAGCAAAACTTACAGGTTACGGCTGAGTTTTAAGAGACATTTTCTCTATATATGTATGAATCAGCAAAAAACAGTTGTCCAGTTAGAGACAATCTTTGCGCTGAACGAAGCAGGAAGTGGCCCTCAGAGTAATATCCTCTCATCCCCTCCCCCTTTATCTTCTTCACTCATCCTCCACTCTCTCTCCATTTGTGTTTAAACTGCCAACATTGCAGCTTCACAGGAAATAAGCAATGCCAACAGTCCCTCTCAGTGTCTCTCCGTTTCCTGGTCTGGGAAGAATAGGACTGGCCTAGACAAAACGGAAGACTCACATCCTGGTCGTATTCCAGGAATATCTGGAAGTTTCTGTCCTTTCTGAACATGGGGTGGGAGGAGGTTTGCTGGTCTGCGGCTGATTTCATGCGCGAGGTAAGCTGTTCGCGATGCACTCGTCCAAGTGGAAAAATGTGCTGTTGCTGTCAGATCTCGATTGCCGAAAATCACGTTTGATGCAAAACCAACTCGACTAAATCAAAATAAAAAACACTGTAACTGTATATTTTTGTTTTCTCAAGCAAAGCAAATTT